TGCAATAATGAGCCTCCAGCTGCCAATGAAAGCTCATTCCAGCTGTGTATCTACCAAAAGCTATTCCTTTCTCTATAGTCCAAGCCAAAGTAATGTGGCAGTAGTGATGAGACCTCTGCAAGGGAGATTATGACTGCCAGACACTATTGTGAATAATCCTCAGGAACTTGGGAATTATCTGAGCCATATTCTGATCCCACTGCTGAACATGTATCTTCTTTTTAGGTGCACAGTGTGGGCAGGAGAGAAGCAGTGGTAGGACCTGTGTTTGAGTAAGGACTTCCTCAGTGCACCCTAGTTCAGCATCCCTGATTCTGTCTCTGACCCACCACTGAAGGACAGCAACTTGAGTTGATCCAAGTTTGAACTTGGAAGTACCAGCTACTGAGTAAACCAGCCTCCGTCTTCACTATAGTTGATGGAGCCCTGGCAAAAACCAGCATGCTGTCATCACCTTTTAAAAAGCCAGGCTGATATTTCCAGTCTTTCTCTCACAGCTGTCTTAACTTGCAGGAAAGTAATGATTGTGATTCATCCTTTTATCTTTACACTAAAATGGGAAAAAGACAGTATTTGTAGCCTGGCTTTAAAATTGTTTTCTAAATAAAGTCATCTATGCTCTAGATCTCCAGTTACAGTGAGGAGTGACCTACACTATACCAATGTATGGGACAACAGATCATTAGGGAGAACTGTGATGAACCAATTATTTGTTACTTCAGCATCATGTTTTGACAGTGCTCTGTTTAACAAGACCCTACAAAAATTTAATTACTAATTTTACTTAATGTGAATAATTAATACTGTTGATATCTAATCCTTCCCCAGACTTGGAGTGTCTGCAGACAATGCCGTTCTAAGGCGGCAGTAGGCATTTGCTTTATTACCTCTTGGCAGCCAAACCAGACCACTGCGAACCTGGAGGAGAATCAGGCCTCCTCTATGCTCAGATAGCAACAAGAATGCCATTATTCCAGGGAAGGGGAAAGAATTCCTGCAGCTACATTAAAAGCTCTTATCTTTATTAGTGAAAGTACTAACATTTCCCAGTATGTTTTCAAATTGTAGTCAAGTATTTTGCCTTCAGTTTGGAGCTGCTAGTAAAAGCAACAAAGTTATACACAACCAGTAACTTGAGGATCATCAGCTGCAAAGGTAAGTCTCACAGAGGCAGGCAGAAACTGGCTGGTCTAGAACTTGGTGTGCAGCCTTGGGAGTTTGAAGAATGTCCTGTTTGTGAGTTAAAGCACTTGCTCTTCTCTAACGGGAAGCAAATTTGTGTACATAGAACAAAACCCATTGCAGAGACAAACTATATTTTTCTAAAGTGCCACTAAATATTGCTACCATTCCCTAGAAAGGCCAAGCATTATTAATTCAAATGGCAGGAAGCAAGAAGAGATGGTACCCAAGATGTACAAAACCCAGCAGATTGTTACTTTGTATTTGACACTTCATCTTCAGCCTGGAGAGAGCTGCATCAGCCAGGAGTGAGGACAGGCTGTGACCAGGCCAGGTTCTTGGGGTTCAGCTAACACAGACCAGCACTCTAGACACAGCTTGATTTGAACAGGAGAGCCTCAGCAACACAGTAAATAGCTTTGAGTATGGATTATAAGATCTGGCCTGTTAGGTTTAATATTTTAATATACTGCCCAAGTGTACTGTGGCTCTAATCACAGCCACAGCAGATTCCTCGAGTAGCTGATGATTAGAGAGACCATCAATAATCCCTGCTGAGCTGCACAGATGAAAACTAGCAAGAGGATTTAAGGGTGAAAAAAGGTATATCCAGAAATTCATTATGTTCCTGTTGAGACAAAACAATCCACTAATATCTAACAACGGAGCATAGTCCAGAAAACTGGAAACAGATATTAAAAATGAGCAAATTTCAACAGGCCTAATGCAGATGTGATGAACTAGTCATAAATATTCAATCCAGGAAGCTCTGTCACTAAGGATGGATAGCATTCCTGTTAGTAACTGTAAGGCTCTATGCCCTAGATGGCATTGCTCTGCAACATTAGAAAATACACTTCTAAAATCCAAGATCTCCCTGCAGTCAGCACAAAAAGATTTCAGGCAGGACAAGTGTTGATTTAAGTTCACACACAAAGCAGAGTTCTCTTTTTAAAATGTTACTTGTTTGAGACATTTGCACTGCAGCTGATATATTATTTATGCCACTTTTTCTTTCCCCCAGTTATTTTTAAAATGTTCACTTGTAAAATCTTGTGTGCACAGTTTGAAGTACTTTCACTGCACCTGCTCCCTCCAGGCTGTGGCATTCAATTGTTTTTGTTTATTCTGTGCTACTCTTCTCTAGCAATTTGCTTGGCACTGTAAAGAGAGTGTTGTTTGTTCCCCACAGTCAGAAGTTGAAGATCAGCCTCCTCCTCCTCTCTGAATGCTGCAGCCTGCTCAAGGCAGCTGGATGGGAAGTGGGCAGATGCTCAGCTGTGCCCAGAGGGCTGATCACTGCTGCAGCAGGGAGGAAAACCACGCAAAACCAACATACCTGCAGCTTATCCCAAGTCCCATGTCTCCACACTGCTCTTCCCAAGGCATGGTCACATGTTGCCTCTGCTTCAGCTTTCCAGCAAGCATAGTGTACTGGGAGCACCTGTGTGCATCCACCTCCCAGCACCAGGGATTGGGAGCTGCACTTCCAAGAGCTGTGCAGCCTAGCAGCAACCCGCAGGCTGCCCAGTTTTAGACAGCAGAATTGATTTGGCACTAAAACCTCTTACAATTAAAGCCCTTGTTTTCCAGGGTGTGGTTAGCATGTCTAGAATATCCATATCCTGGCATGCCTATGCAAAGATAGGGAGAAGCCCCAGGTAGGAAGTCTCACCTGGAGCTGGGAGGTGTGCACGAGAGTTGTATGGAAATGCCCCAGCCTTCCTGCAGTGTAAAACCCCATTGCTTTGGGATGCCAAGCAGCCCCACAACTTGCCCAGCATGCACACACTCTTTCTGTTGGAATAAACAGGTCAAAATCAAGTGGGCAGAGCCTGGAGGGAGATTTTTTCATCTGCAATTTACAAAGAACATATCTCTTATCTCTGCAAGTGTTATTTCAAAGCAAGTAACTTCTGGGGTGGCAAAAACACAAGTCAGACCTCTGTAAAGCAAGCTAGATGTGACCTCCACAGGGGGAAAAAAACAGATTTGTGCACTAGTTTTGCATATTTAAGGTAGTCATGTGGGAGAGGAGGGTTAGTTTTCTTTTAACCAGCTTGTACTTTTGCTCTGATGCTTAATTTTTTTTTTTTTTCCTTCTGCATTAAGAATTCACATCTTTGCTTAGTCAGGGCTTGTGGCGGTTGAAGAATAACTGTAAAGGCAACACAGGAACAGCTTCTAAAGAAGCAAAAGTAAATACATGAGTATGAATACATGTTCATCCATATCTACTCCATTGAAAGCAATGATGGCTTGCCGTCACACTTTGATTTTCCTACTTTTAATGAAAGTGGCTAGAAATTCAAATACTCGCCTGATCTCTGAAAACCATTTTCTAATTTTCGGGCTGTAAGCTACATAAAAATTTTCTGAAGTGAAGCACACAAGGCAGAATCAAAAAAGATGCACATTTGGCATATCACCATGTCACAGGGTAGGAAGTGAGAGTATCTTCAGAGACCAACAGCTAATTGGAACTGCACCAAATTGTGACAAGCAGCAAGATTATCTTTGAACCAGAAAACCAGGCATGGGGAAATAGCTAGAGAGATGGAGCATCCGTATGGATTCCAACATATGCTTTGGGTTGTAAGCACACAGAGATGAAAAGCAAACAATCACACCAATGGAAAATATGGAAAATACTTTCAAGACAACTGCTGGGCTGGCAATGATCAAAGACATTTTCTACATTAACATCAGAGCTGCACCTCATCCCTGCACTTGTGGACAGAGGTGTAGGATCAGCAGGTGTGCCTTTTCTGCACTGCAGGACTCTTCTGTATCTGGAATGAACTGTGGATGTGTAAATAACCTGCCTAAGACACAGCACTGCTTCTTGGAGACATGGCGTGTACTTCAGAAGGAAGAAATCCTTTTGTCAGAGAATGTTACAAAGACACAAGTAAAGGTGTTCAAGGTGAGGCAGCCAGACCCAGTTAAGTGCCTTTTCATTCCCGGATCTCAAGTCCTTCCTTCAGGGAAAGTACAATGGGAGGGGGGACCTGCTGAGATGTCCCATGGGATGAGGTAGGAGGAAGAAGCATCCTGTTACCAGGGCAGGCTACGCTGGGTTGGGGGGGGGGGGGGGGGGGGGGGGGGGGGGGGGGGGGGGGGGGGGGGGGGGGGGGGGGGGGGGGGGGGGGGGGGGGGGGGGGGGGGGAGCTACAGCTCCCTAGCTGGTGCAGAGTAGAAAAGCAGCACAAGTATTTCCCTCTTAGAGCAGGGGCTTCTGACCAGCCCTGTCACATTCCAAGGGAAGCTGTCCACCCCCTCATTATTATTCCAAGCATTACTGAAAACATGACTCCAGGAACTGCTTCCGACGGAGGACTGGCTCTCATCACCATGGCTTCAACGGCTGAACAGGCACAGGCACAGGTTCCTCCAGCCAGGAGGGTGACAATCAACACCTGCTTCCCTTTGCTAGAACAGATTTAACTCATGCCAGTGCAGTAATTTCCTATCTGTACTGTTGTAAAAGAGCAGAATTTGAGTCTTTATAAAATAACACATAAAGTTCCCAGAGTGTTTGTTTCCACACAGATTCCTGGATAACTTCTAAAGGAATTGCTCTGGTGCACACACCTTCACAGCAAACACACATTCAGTGGCACAGATAATACAAAATTTAACAACTCTCTTCTTCTTTCTTCACTCCCTAATCCAGTGCTCAGGTCAAACAAGGGGTATAAAATACTCTCAAAATTAAGCCAAAAATTAATAAATCATTGGGATTGGAACCCAAAGGGGTGCTGTAGTCCTATATCCAAGCACACCCTGAAATGTTAAGTTAATACAAAGAGAGGATATTTTTATTGATAAATGTTATATTGTCTTAATGTAGATGCCTGACACAATTAAATCAATTGACAAAACATTTAAAGTAATTCATTTGGATAAAACTTTTTGATATTTCATAGACAATAGTGCTGTGAATTTTGTTTATAGTATAACACATTAAAATCACAGAAATACAAATTTCTAATTTTATAGGTTACCAGCAAACAGAGAAAAATGCATGCTTTCATTTTTGTTAGATTTGTAACTTACACAGGCAAGTGGAACAGCTATGCATAGAAGACTATTCTACAATAAGTTGTAAAACATACAGAAAGGCTGACCTTGTAACACTTGTACAAGTATGACAAAACCATTGCAACTAATTTCAAAAGGTAACAAATGTCTTGTCTGTGGCTTCACCATTTTAACACTTTCAAGCTGACTTAATTGAAAGCTATTTTGAGTAGAATTATATTACTAGAAACCACTGCTTGTTTTGCTTTCTGGCTGGTTGTAAATGAACATACATTATATGTACATTTGCACTCAGTTCCACCTACATTTTCTTCCTAATGATTAGAAGCATCACAGAATTGCCCAGCAATAAGGGACCCAGACAGTGTCATTTGATCCTCAATCAAATAGAAAGTGCTCCTGTCAGTCACTTTTACTGCTGTGTTTCCTGCAGCTTGAATGCTATGACTGTATCACAAAGCAGAAACCTCAGCATGCCCAAGATTCAGAGACTGGTACAGTCTCAGCCTTCTGTTTTGGAACAAGCCACAGCAGGGATCATGTTCAGCAGCCTAAGACTTCAGCAACGGTACAAACCCAAATTCTCTATTATAGCTCTGTGAAATGATCAGATCTTGAACAGCTGACTGCTGGGCCCTGAAATGATTTAAACACCTCCCCCCCAAAAAGAGTGCTGGCACTAGGGCTATCCCCACATGCCCTAGTGATGCCAGGCTGACTGTGGGTGCTGAGCTTGGCTACCTTTGGCTTGGCACCCATGTACACACATCAGTTTGGGTTTGGCTTGGAAAAAAACATTGGAAGGAACTAAAACTTACACAGCATACTAGAAGATTAACAAGTCTATCTGCTCACCTTTTTGTTCTCTGGAATCCTGATTTACCTGAGTCTCAACTCCCGTTGCCAGGCCTGTGCTGGAGTGCTTGGCAGAAGTGCCCCTTCCACTGCTTGTCACACGCCTGTGTCTGTGCCCAGGAGAAGCGGCACTCCTACCCTCTCATACATCCCACTGGCTGAAGCTCTGATGAATGCACCAGCAAGAGGAACATCCAAACCATTGCCAGACCTTGCCAGGAGGGTTCATATTGCACATTACTTTGATAGACAGAAAAAAACAAAAACAAACAAAACAAACAAACAAAAACAAAACAAAAAAAACCCCAAACAAATTCCCCAGACTGTTACAAACATCTTCCAAGTATTGTTTCAGTCTTGAAAGCAAAGATTTGATGCAAGGATGAAGGTAACATTCCATTAGCAATCTCACACAATACTGCCTGCATAGTAAGGATTCTCAGCTTTACAAGGGGGAACAGTGAAGTCAATCACACTGCTCCTCAAGGGAATGCTAACTAAAATTTATCCCTAAATCTTCAATGCACTGCAAAGTTCACTGCACACCAGAGAACTCTCAGGTACACAGAGTGGCACTCACCTGTACAGCCAGGGTAAGAGTCAGAGACATTGGGTTAGGCATCTGTTTCCCTTCTCTCTCAGGAAGTGACAAAGTACTATTCAGCTCTCCTGACCAAAGAACAAGGGTTGCAAAGATCAAGTAGCATCCAGGAAAATCTTCATGTAAATGCCACCCCTGTGAAACTTGGCAGTATCTGAATTACAGACAGCTTTTTGTGATGCCATACTATTTTCACTTGCACTTGCTCTCCACTGGTGCTGCACGATTACAGATTCATACTTTGTGTCATCTGCTTCCGGCACTCGTTAAAAAAAAATTACTTCAGAATGAAATTACTACACAAACATGCTTGCTTTGGCTTCTTTCAAAAACCTATTGTGGTTCAATCTCTGTGCTTGCTCATTTCACCTATAAGCAGTTCCATGATACAGAAATGCATATTATGCTCAGAGGTCCTGAGTGCAGTGAGAAACATGAGAGAAAACATTGTTTCTTAATACCAAGGATGAAAAACTCAGCTGAGCTCTATGCTTGACAGAGTATGGGAGCTCACTCTATGCAAAACTTGAACATTATTATAAACCTTCATGAAAGACTGAGGCTGTACTTCGTACAATCAGGCTTTATCTTCCATTTTTTTTCCTTTCCTGATCTAAAATTGCCCTACGTCTTTAAAAGACGACAAAAAAAAGCGCCCTCCAATACATTGTCTGTAAAGGGACTCTATTGTTGCTGTTGTATTTTCCCCCAGAAAGTCCTACTGTAACTCCACTGATAGTGACAATCTGATAGATTCTTCTACACTGAACTCAAACCAGTGTGGTGGAAATAGGGGAGAGTTGTGTTTGTGAGCAGTGGGACCGTTTTTACTGCAGGATTTCAAGATGGGAGGTCCTTGCCTGTTGTAAATGGGAACAACCCTGTCATAAAGCTGGGACAATAAAGGTCAGTTTCCTGGTTTAGGGGGATTGTCACATTTAACCAGAGTCAATAACTTACTTTTGAAAATAACTGGGGGAATCAAGTCAAAGGAAGATTAATTCCTTAATGAGAAAGGGGGAATAAAATAACAAAAAAATTCTACTTGTGGATAGCTTATGAAATGTGAATTTTTGTTATTGCAAATAGTACCTTGTAACAATGATATTACAAGTATTAAAAGTGCAAGGACTATTTTCTATTTACATATTTCTACTCTTATAGATCACTTGCAGAAGCATCTTTGGATCTCTTAGCATTTCTCAGCTTCTCTACTAAGTTACAAGAATCATTTGAGAAGGTCCCACCCCTTTTTGTGGCCACTTAAAATGATAGAAAAATGCTTTAAATAGCTTAGTCTGCTTGGCTCCTGATCCACAGAAACCTGGCATTAGCTTTAGGAGAGGACCAAAATTAGGTTCCTAAATCTTCTGCCAGCATGGGGAAATGTTCTCTTGAACCAGGGGCTCAGCACTCTGTGTTTGATAAATAAATAAATAAAATGCACGAATACTGCAGTGCAGAACTTTCTGACCTCCTCAAAGTACCAGACATGCTCTTCTTTTTTTTTTTTTTCCCAAAGCTGACTTTATAGTCAGCAACAGATCTGGAATTTCAAGTGACTAACAATAATTAGAAATATTACTCAATGTATACCGATGTATTACACACATGCATGGCAACTGCCATGCACCACTCACAATACCTTGCTAAAACAAATAAAAACTTTGCTTGAGTTTATAAATAGGTATGTGTAAGATTGTCTTAAATACTTATACACCTATAGCATCTTTAGCACTTGCCACGTAAAGAATTTATTCCTATGCAGAAACAGCTAATTACCACAGAACTTCAATTTAACAACAGTTAGCACATCTACTTTACTAGGTAAAGTGTATATATATGTATAAATATGGCATTTTGCTTGAATACAAACCTATGTTCATACATTTAAAAAAAAACACTAAAAACCTGACAATTAATTATAGAACTTGTGACCAAGTCCCTCAGTAAAACTCCCATACTATAATCTGGCTTCACAAAGTGTAAAAGGCCCAGGTCAGATCTAGAATCCCTTAATTAGATCAATTATATTTTTTGTATAATGAATGTCTTTGCACATGAGGGCAAAAAAAGAGTGCATAATTCCCTTGAGGGAGTCTCTGAAAACACACGAGAAGTGTTCCCATGTCCTGTGCGGTGCTTGATTATTTCAGTGGCTGGGGCACTTTCCAAGCAGGCAGTTTGTGCTGTTTGGAGTCAGGTGCTCAGAGGCTGGTGTGCCAAGCAAGGATCTCTTTGCATTTTCTCTGATCAGCTTACTGGATCAAAACCTGCACACTATTTGTGCTAGCCCAGTGCATTAATTCTGTGTTACAGAAAGCAGCACGTGGTCCAGCCATCAAAGCCAGAGGGATATAGCTTATGAGAAAGTGGAAGCAAAATTCTGAATCCTGGCAACACAAGGAGCAAGGTAAAATAAGGAAGCAAAGTGGGTGGCTGCTGGGTGTACAGGGATGTCTGCCCATGGGAGAGATTTCATGGAACGTCCCAATATTTATACAGGCTCCATCCAAAGTCCTCCTGTGACACAGCATCTGCCACTCAACATCCTCCCCTACACACATAAACTGAATGGAGTCCTTGTTCCCTCCCCTGCTCCAGCATTTATCAGCCAAAAGCAACCCTGACCAGAGCTAAGGAAAGACTTGGTCCTCAGGAGAGCACATGTTCCTGCTCTGAAAAAGGAGCAAGTGTAATCTCAGGCTGGCAGCAGTAACTAGTAGCCAAGGGGCCTGTGCCCCTGCAACCCTCTCCTCTCCTGACAGGAAAAAATGTTCAGCAGCAGGCATTACTCCTCTGGGAGCCCAAGGTCTCATTTTGCTTGTCAGGCATGCCAATGGAAAACCTCAGCGACAAATGCTCAGCAGTGGAGCGGATCTGTAACCAACTACAAACATCCTCACAGGGTCAGGCATACAGTGGTGTGTTTTTCCCCAGCTGGCAACAAAAACGTTACGTTGAATTGGTGCTGTAAAATTATCTCGTTGACTTTTAGCACCATTCAAACCCTACCTGGCAGATAAAGACTACACTGACATGATGACATGATTTCTGTCAGGTTGTTCTGGTGTGGGTGCTTTCCAACTTGTTTTGAAAATCTGTTAGAAAAACAGAAATCTATCTAAAAACTACCAAAATAAAGTAATTTTTGCTACGTAAGTATGTTTAAAAATATGTTGCTTAAAACAATCTGCTTTTTTTGGAAGCCTTCCTGAAATTAGGTGCTTCTACTCAAACTTGGATAACTTGGCCTAGATGTCAGACTGTTCCAGGACAGAAAATAATTTATTTCATAGCCAATTTACATCCCCAGGGCACAACGAAACAGACTGCCATTTCTTACCCTATTGCTTTCCCAGAATAAAGCGAACTTCTCCAAAAGGCAGGGATCAAATCCTCCCCAGAGTTTGATTCTGCAGATTCAGAGAGACAAGTGTAAGCAGTAGTAGATGCCGAAGTAGATGCTTTTTGGAAGCAGGGCAGAAGTAGATGCTTTTTGGAACTGCTTCAGATTTGAGACCACTAAGTGGTAAGAGAGTATTCATGTAAATCCCCTTAAAGGTGCTTGGTCTTATTAATTGTCATTTATCTATTCAGGTAAGAAGGCCACTCACCCAAAAAAACACTGTGCCCCCATCCTTTCCAGGACTCACTGCTATAAACCCATCACTGACCCTACAACAGTAACAGGGGTTCTGCCCCTGATTTCACCAAAGTCAGATTTCACTCAAGTCCCTGAATACTGAAAACTTCCTTCCTGAAACTAAGCCTTGCATTCTTCTTGGTAGATCCATTCAGCACATTCAGACTCTGCAGCTCCTTAAATTTGAAGTGGCTGAGGTCTTTCAAATATTCAAATTTCCACTGCTTTCCTTAAAACCATGGCTTTAAACTGATTCAGTTAAAGTTGTACCAATCTAAAAGGGACATTCTTATAAGAATTTAAGTTTCTTTTAGACTAACTTGCAGTGGCTGCTGATCAAGTGAAACTTTGAAAGTACAAGGCAGAATTAAATTCAGGTAAGCATGGTCCACTGAAATTGATTTTCAAAACATATTTTTAAAAAAGTTTAAAGCTCCAGTGGTGTAACTTTGAAAGAGACAAACCTCGCACTATTTCATCTCTGTGAACTTTAATTGAAATTATTAGGTTTCCAAAAAATCTTAATATAAGAAACATTTGTCAGCAGAAAGCTATGATTTTCTAAAAAGTTATTCAATAACACTGAATGTACATTTTATCTTACAAGTACCAATTGGAAAAGACATAAAAATACCTGTTCTGACAGCAGGGTATTAAATGTTACCTTCAGGTCACTCCACCTACCTTGAATGTCGTTTTTTCAAAATATGACTGCTGCTCTACCTGATTTGTTTTATCAAGAAAAAACCCAGTCCTGCACCTCATTCTCCACGAGTACCACCATCACAAATCCAAAGCTAATCAATTTATTTCAGTGACACAGCTGAGGACAGAGATCTGGAAACTAAGCATGCAAGTGGCATCACAGAAAAAACAACAAATTATGCAAGTGAAAAATATCCCATGCACACATTTCATATTGATGTTCCTATCACAGAAAAAGTCTATTAAAAAGACAGCACTGAAAACCAAAAATTTTTAAAAAGGGGAAAAAAGAAGGCAAGTAAAAAGTTCACCTTTAGTGGGACAAAAGCAGTTTTCCCGGCATGTCTTGAGACCATCTCTTATCATACCCTCTCCTGTCATTCTGCCCTTGAACCACTGTCAGAGGAAGGCCATCCATGTCAAGCAAATATGAAGCCAGCCAAGGGTCACATATTTAAGTCAAAGTAAGAATTGCAGTGAAGCCTCTCCATGGAGAAAAAGGCTCTATAATCTCCCTTTGAAATACTAATTGAAGATCATCTGAAATTGCTAGGAATGGAAACAAAAACAGTTGACTGGTCCAAGAGCCAGAGCAGCCTCGGATGCGAAGGTGACCCTTGCTTTCAGAAGATGAAAACTGCAAATTAATCACAGTCATACTAAAAATGCCCAACACAACCCAGCTTCTCTAGTGGCTCCCTGCAGCCCCTCAAGCCTGAGCCTCAGAGCCCGTCAGCTCCCTCTTTCCACCCCCAAGCAGCCACTGCAACCCCAGTGGTGGCACCAGCCTGGCTGGCTCCTGAGGCCCTGCATCCGGTGACAGCTTGCAGCTCATGCAGCCGCAGGCAAAGCAGAGCCACAGGCAAAGCAGAGCCAGGCACTGGCTACCCTCCAGAGTCTGACCTCCCTGGGAGGAGAGAACTCCTGGGAGACTCAGTCCTCTGTAAGGCCCAGTAAAGCCCTGAGTATGCCCTGCAACAGAATAGAACTGTCCATGCCACTTTTGGAGACAGCATATAGGAAGGATGCCAAAAATTGCTGGTTTTTTGCTTTGGGGCCTTCTACACAGGCCATGACTGTGCTAACAAGAATGAGAGGCAAGCTCTCTCCTGGCGCACTCAGTCGGTCTGCTCTGTTTCAAACCAGGTCTGGACCTGACAATTCCACTGCATATCATCAGCACATCTGGCAGAAAGCATTGCTTTAGGACGTGCTTATCAAGCCATATACAGCACAGGTAACAGCAGTTCAAGGTACTTTTTGCTTCTGCTCAGAACAAGCTGCTTGCAGAACATTCTGGCAACACATACAAGTATCAAAGCAAGGTATTTCAGGTTTTACACACAACACAAAACTATGACTACTACAGTATTTAATGCACACCAGTAGGAAAAGTTCCTAAGAAATACATGTGTAGTTCTTGTGCTGTGGGATAGTTAATGGTTATTTCGCAGAAATAGATCCAACTGGCTCCATTGGAGCAGCAGTAAAAATATTCAAAATAGAAGGAATAATAGGCCCTGATATGAATCTTCTTTTTTTCCTTCCCCTTATCAGCAAGGACACACTCTGCTTAGGAGCAACTGCATCTCGCTATGAAGTGAAGCTGCGTGTTTGTGGGGTGGCTTTAGTGACATGTGCCACATTGTTGCAAACATCATTTGACTTATATAAGTATTTTAGGATATTAGAGATTGCTATTATTATTATTATTAATCTCATTAATAACAACAATAAAAGAAACAAAAACCCAGCAACAGGAAGGTACAGTGGGCTTCCAAATGCAAGAGGATGTCTCGCGGGCACAGGTATGAGAAGGCTGCTCAAACCTCAGCTGTAGTGAGCAGCAACACAATTGCTTTCCAGGATGAAAACTGGCGATGCTGGCATGTCATCCACTCTCTGTCTGTCTCTGGACCCTTTCTTCTTCTTGCCAGGGATCCACTGACACACTTTGTTCCCCGAGCAAGGCCAGTGGGACGAGGCTTTTTCCACAGGACTTTGCTGCCACACACAGTGCAAGAGCTACCAGCAACTCCTTGTGTTTGGTGTAACAAACAAAGAAAACCAGCTGCTGAGCTGAAGGGAAACCACAGGGTGTAAATATATTTTCATTTACAACATTTTGCCCAAAGAAAATCAGATTGAAAAGATCAATTCCAAAAGTGCAAATGAAAAAATAATTGGATTTTCATCCGTGAACAAAATGTAGCTCTCTTCTTTTTTCTTTTAAACTGGAGTGCTTTCTTTTCCTGCTATAGTTTAGGGCTTGGTGTTTTGGGTTTTTTCCTTTCTTTCTGTTATGTAGAGTTTGCTGTACCTTTACTATTATCTGCCACTGTTTGTACCATACACAAAAACATTCACCTAGCTCATAGTCTCTTAATACATTTCATAGCAGAACATATACAAGAGGATCAGAAGTGATCAGTGCTTAAAGTAAATACAAGAGCCGCAGTGGCAAGAATGTACAGTATCAATACATACAAATGAAGCAGTGATGGTGTTTCTCGGGGGTGGAATCTGCCTGCTTATTAATACAGAATTATACAAAATCTAGCAGGGATATTGGAACAATGAAGAGCTAAACTTTCACAATAACTTAAGATCTGTGAGAGTCTGCATTGAAGATATTCCACATTTTAAAATGTGCCATTTCTGTCTATGTCTTCCTTCCTCCCAAAAGGAGAGGTGATGAATCCACATGATCTGTTATCAGATAAGTTCAACTGCTTAAGATGAAAAATATCAGGCCAGGTCCAGTGTATACGTGAAAGAATGGCAAATTATGACTTCAGTAACCATGTCTGTGCAAAATACGCCTCTTTCCTCTTAAAGAAACCAGTGTCTGTAACTCACTTAGAAAAGTTTTCACATGTACTTATGTCCTCCTGAATAAGACATAAACTATTGAATCCCCCCAAAACAAGAAATCTGATGAAGCAGAGAAAGTTCTGGCCTTCCATTTCCATGTGCACACCATTAAAAACCAGGACAAATCCTCGGTAGCCCTTCTGGGCTGGCAATCAAACTATTGCTTGGAAATAACAAACACTCTTGTAATAAAACTCCAACATTCATAGTAAAATGGTAGCAGTGTTTACCCTTTGAACCCACATTTAGCTTGCATTCTTTAACAGACATGTACAAGGTTAACTATTTATAGTAAAAAGTCAACAGTTTTTTCCTTGATAATCTTCTTTTATCCATTCTTATGCTAAGTACCTTGAATTGCATTTCCATTTTACACTGCCCTGTGGCCTTTGGATTGTTACAGGAGATCCAGAGGGAGAAGATGCAAGAGAAGATGTTGATCTCTGACAAGTAAAAAAAAAAGAACAAAAGCAACACCCTCACTCCCAAACAAACAAAAAAACCTGCCAACCCAAAACTAAAAGCTAAAAACAAACAAAAAACACTCCCCACAACCAAAAAAAATTCCCATGATTCTCCTTGAAAGTCAACCTCCATATGGCATACTCTCTCCTGCATTGTAGCAATAGTCTTAAGTCATAAATTAATTCGTCTTCCATCAAATAACTTAAAAAAGAAGGAATTGCAGCAGATCAGTTTGACTGGCTTAACACCAGTTAACAGCCAGTTCATCTTGATTCTCAGTCACACTGTTCAAAAACTGAGCAAGGAAATCACATGGATGTTGAAAAAAGCTCTTCACATCGATGAAGGATTGTTCCAGGTTGTGGGGGCCAGAGAGAGGGCAAACCTAGATGGGGCCATGGGTCCTATGAACAGTGAACAGGATATAGGTCACGACTTGGAGGTGCACTGCATCCAGGAAATGCCAGCCGTGGCTTGTATTGCACCGGTAAGAAGGAAGCTCCTCCCGACAGTCTGCCACCTGTGTTAGTGATCTCTGCACATTGGCAAGTTCACAAAAGTGAAAACATTGAATTCTGTCATGATGGAGAAACACAGGAAGATGCCGTAAAGGAAAAGGCACACACACCCTAGCTTCTTATCCAGTTTCCATTTGTTCATGTGGACACCAAAAACCTACAATAAACACAGAGTAAGCCACCACAGCAGGAACATTTTGAATAAAGTGGTAAATCCCCTCCTCAGCTACAGGTGCCAAAAGAGAAAGTCCCCTTACTGATGATGATTAGCTGGAAGCAATCACAAACTGCACCAAGTGAGCTGAAAACCACAGCTCAAGTAAATCAGAGCAGCAGTCACAAAAACCACCCTGACTTACATCACCTCACTTTAGGTTTCTGCAGTGAATTTAATTTTGGCAAGAACAATCCCATTTATTTCAATCAGAAATGGATTTAAGGGCCAGGTTCCTTTTTTGTTTTAAACTCAAAATGCTTCATGTGCTCCTCTGCATCCCAACCTAGAGCTACACAGTCTAAGACTGCTTGACTTTGCATAGTTTGCTCCCATCAAAGACTAACATCTTGTGTATGTGGGAATTGTGTTGTTGTGCATTGCACAGGATTCCCCTCCCATCTCAAGATTTGGAAGACGCCACATCATTCCTCTTCTATAATTTCTGGGAAAGGTCAGGGAACACCAAGTACTGATTTCAACAGAAACATTGTCAGGCACTGTTTTTTCTGGAGTGTGTTGTATTTCAGAAGGATCCTAGAGAGGGCCAAGCAACCTGCTCAGCATTTTGTCTGCTTGTCTCACAGGACAATGGATCTCATTATGCATCAAGGGACCTGTTTCAGCTCTAGCATAGAAATTCCTAGTGATTACTAATGGCTCTCCCAGGTTCCTCCCATGGAAAACACACAGGCAGGAGTGTCATCCCATGGGAGTGAGAGCTCCTGCAAAGAGCCGAATCAAGACCTTGGGAAGCTTTTCAAACAGGGAGCACCCCTATCCCACAACAACAGACTTTGCAACCACTATTTCAGCTGGAGGTGAGAAAGGATCAGGTGAAGAAAATGTCTATAAAAATCCCTCTTTTGGAAAAGAAGAACAAAAGACTATATACATACTGTGACAAAAACTGATGCCAGCAAGAGACCAACAGAATATATAAGTCCTCTGCTGTTTAACCGAATCTGTAAAAGAAGGAAATTTATCAAACCATCTCACAATTTCAAACAATATTCCTCTCTGCTTATATTTCCATAATCCTAAACTGAGCTGCTGAACTGCTGAGCTGCTAAACAGTGGCTTGCAAGTTGTAAATGCCAAGTCAGACCATTACATCGCCGATAACTTTGCCTATTCCCTCTTTTGCCAAAGAAGGCGTATTATTAGTGGAGTGTCCTTAGGACCTGACAACATTTCACAGTGTTCCACTTCCACATGAGATTTGCCATCCCTTGTACTATTATATAATGACATTTTCTAATTCCTATATGAGTCCTGTAAGAACAACCAGGGAAAGGAAATTTTGCAGTCAGTCACCAATTAATGCTTCACAATGGGGGAAAATAAACAAGGACACACACAAGCACCTTATTTCTTCCCTAATTTTACTCCTCTTGGTGAAGGGAACAAGTCAATAATCTCAAAACCAGAGCCTCAGGTGCTGAAAAATTGTCTGTATCAATACATCATGGCACACTAACATAGGCTGGACATGAATTAGCACTGAGGCAGATCAGACAAGGAGACAACTTACTGCCTGCAGGCCTGTGTACCAGGCACCTCACAGGCTCTGGTGCAAGATGTCTTCATGGCAGAGCCCCAGTTACAGTCACTGTCCAAGAGAAGAGCCAAGATGCAGGTCCACAAAGCTGGGAAGTCATTAAACTGCCACTTTTAGAGGCTTTGAGCATAACCTAAGGAAATCACCTGTATCGTTAAGGCCCAAATACTTTTTAAAATGTGATTTTTGTGAGACATAAACCTAATGTTACAAAGGAAGTCTACAGGAAGTAAAGCCATTTCTCCAATCTTGCTCCTCAGCTAGCATCACACTTATCCTTGATTTTCCATCCTTCTCTTGGGGAACTTAAACATTATCCTTTTGGGCATTTTTATATGATCTCAAACAGCATCACCTGCGGCATCATGAGGGGAGCACTCAGTGGAGTCTCTCAAGGCACTTCTCCAGGAGCTACTGTGTGGAGGGGACATCCTTCTAGGAAAGGTTGGCTTCTCAGTGCTCCCATCCTTCTAGTTAGATTATAAAGAATCCCATTTGCAAGTGAAGTGGGTATTGTTAATGTTGTCAAGCAGCACTACAATTTTAAGAATGCAGGAATACAGATAGACTTGTATAATTTTGCACCACAGCCAGGAAATCCTTTTCACCCTACTATTGCTCCTAAATCCAGAGTAATGATTTAGGTTCACTCCCCAGGGGCCACTGAGGGGAGAGTCTGACCTGTAGAGTCAGAAGGGATGATCATTCCTGAGACTTGGGAACTCTCAGCCTGCACTGCACTCCGCACACCCAGGATCTTCTAAGCCAATCCATCCTGCCTGAGCTTTGCTGTTCCCTTTACACATGTTAAAATACCAGCTCACACAAATAGCACACTTTCCTTCCCTGCTAGTAGTTGACACCATAAAAAAGGCTACAACCATGATGATCATTTTGTCTGAAAGGTACTGGAGGATTTCTTTAGGATGATTGTGCTGTAAGGGTATGGATGGACAGCAGGACTGTAACATTCCTATGGCCATTACAGGTTAAAACAATATTTTCATCAGACTGCTCAAAGAAATGGAGGATTTGGATTGCTTCAGGGCATGAAGACTGATTTTGGGACTGTCTGCATAACTGAAGATGAAAAATGCCATGATCCTTCTGCTAGGTGTAAACTTCAGAGATGGACCAGCCTGCTTGTCTTCAGTCATTCCTACGCATCCACTCCTCCTCTCTTGCTTCCACCCATCATAATGGCCCACATTTAACAGTTAATCTGCATTTCCATTATTATAAAGTTTTAAAAATCCCTACACTAACTCTGTGTACTAAAACACACATTTAAACCACCTTCCCTGCTATATCCCAAATGAACAGCAGCTGGTTGGGAAAGAGATAATAAATTACAATAAATTCCTATCTGGATTTTGGTCATGAATTTTGTTTGACTATTGCAAATATTTCTAACAATTGTCAGTATAAAATGTATCGATTGGAAAGGGATCTACAGGAAAAGGCAGCAAATTAAGAAGATGGAATTATTTTACCATGGAAAATGTCTGAATTTAACCTAAAGTGCAAAAAATTAACCCTAATGATTCTTCTCAGTTACAATTTCATGCTCCATAAAACCAGCAGAGCATTCCAAAGGCCTCTGTGTCTAATTTGCTGAGGACATTGCTTTCAAAAAAGAGATGTTTGGTGCTGCTTTCTTCAGACTATCTGCAAGGCTCTTCCTTGGAGGTCATTTAGGGGAATAAAAGATGCTATTAGGGATAATTTAAAAGCAGAAAATGTATGCTAATTATTTACAGCAGCTTTACCAATGTAAGAGCCACATACATCATGCCGTTCCTATGTAGGCCAAGTAAATGCAGCAACCTCTTCTGCAGCATGAACGCCAAGTTCCCCTCACAGGGTCACTGCACCAGAACACTGGAGTTTCACTCCAGGTTAACAGTTCTTAGCTTGGGTTTAACCAGCCGCATTCCTGGCCTGGTATCCAGCCCAGGTCCCACTGCTGGGCAAAGCAGAGAGCTATGAACCTAAATAACAAGAATGTTGCTGACAGCCCTGCCACATTTTTTAACAGGCATGTATCTACTTCAGAAAGTCAGCCTACAGAACCATGAGTGGTTTTCATACAGTGCTGCTGAAGAGTTTTGAGAGAGTGCAATCTAAATGAGGCTGAATCCCCATGGTTCACATATGCTTGGCTCCTCTCACTATACTTCTCTGTTTGCCTGAAGGATGCTTCCACCCTCCCCATGTGCCAGAGGCTACTGAGGTGAGCCTGGCCACTTGTGCCAGCTGAGCTATGCCTCGTGCAGGCCCCTGCCCAAGCCCTGCAGTGCTCCCTACAAGTCAAATACATGGGAATGTTGGTGTGCACAGGGTAACCCCACAGCACTGCAATTCCAGTTCACGTGGAGTTACACCAGGCACCCATCTATGGAATCCATCTCCCAGTCATCCCAAGGAAAATGTGCTTTGGGAACAGGCTTACATCAATGTCCACTTTTTCCAACTATCTTTCTGTTATTTCCTATTTGCTTTTCAATTAATAGCCCTTTTCACCTGTGATTACTGTCCTTTTCCATCCCTTTTCTACCTGTTCCATGGCAGGGATATGCCATGCATACATCACCTCCTGAGCCTCAGTAGAAGCATCTGGAATTCTTCACACTTTTTCCAGTACTTTGAGCTCACCAGGAATATTTTTTTACTCAAACAGTTGCACTTTATCTTCCAGAAATTCCAGCTGTAATATGTATCTAGTTTAGCCAAATGACCTTCCTGACAAACCCTTTCTTTTCCTGAATTTGACTCTGGACTACTCATTGCTGTTTCACAAATTTCCCATGAGTCTACAGCTCTGGAAATACAGATTTAACTGATTCCATTCCTGTGGTAATTACCAGCCTACCCCATTTCTTATCGTGACTTTTGGCTATGAGCACAGAAGCCCAGAAGGCTCCAAAATTTGAAACAAAAGCTTAAGAAAAATGTGTCCTTGATCTGTCAAATTAGGGCAGAAATCAGTCAAGCAGCCCTCTCATGAGACGAATGGCATTTCCTGTAAGAGGCAATAGAATACATTTCCTTGGGATATGTGAAAATGTCCAAGTTCAGGGAAAACAAGGGCAGCAAAACATCCAAAACTCACAGTAAGGGAGGAGATAATTTCAGGTTTTGGCAAAGACTAGAAAAAGAATCTCAGCTGGAGTCCTTTTAATTGTATAATGAAAAGTCCAGTCCCCTGTTCATTTAAGAATAGGAAATCCCTCTTCCTCAAGAGAAACCAGGCTGCAGAAGAATCACTCCCTCATACTGCAAGAAGGAAAAATCAATATTCCCAAACTCTCCTTTGAGGACTGGTTTGTGTGTAGGGGCTGAAGCAAGGCAGAAGAATGCTGTTCTGGCTGATCATGCACAGAAGGTTTGAACATTCACAGCCTCCTCTGTAGGAGTTTGAGGGGGGCCACCTCCCAGCTGGTGTGCAGCAAATGCAAAGAGGCTGCCACCAGCTCCAGTCATTCCCATGCTGCTGTGGTAACCAAGGCTGAAGCTAAACAGCAGAGGAAAAACAATGGAAATAAAAGTTATTCTATTCTTAAGTTCTTTTCTGGCAGCTGCTTAAAGGAAAACAAGGAGCTTATTGCCAAAACCCACACTGGTTTTGCTTCAGGGCCTTAATATGACAGAAATTACCCCAGTAAGAATTTCAGAAGGGCTATGCTTTGTTTCCAGTCCCTCAGCTGAAAAAGCTGCGGGTCCTCTGTATGTCTGAGTATTTTTCTCCTTCAGTGTCTCTGCCTGGCAGTGGAAATTCCGCCTAAATCCTGCATTCCTGAGGTCTTGCCATGAGACAGCGGTCTAAGCAAACTGGAACTTCAAACACTGATGCATTGCTGCATGTCTAAATGGAATTTCATTCTTAAACCTGTTTTTAGACTCCTAAGAAAGTGTCCCTGTTTTGCTCCGTATCACAAAATTCATTTTGCAGTGGGTAAGCTATTCAGAGTATCATGCAGGAGCTATAGCTGGAGAGACTTCCTGTAATGCTAGGAGGATTGGCAGGGACATTTTTGCTCTACTACCGTATAATCATCCCAATAATAACTCTGCCACAAAGCTAGGGAGCCAGCTTTGTCCTAACATACCATTCACCCCAGTGCCTTGGAATTTAACAGTAAAAATCAACTGGTCAGCAAGGAGCAAAGCAGTGAGGTTTCCTATCTCCATGTGTGCTTTGCAAGCATTTGCTTCCCTCTGGACTCTCTGATGCCTAAATACGATTGCACTGGGATTATTGCTGCAGTACTCAAACTGCTTGTTTGCTTGGAAGGACTATCAGGTCCCTCAGACTTCTAATGTACTGTTAAATTTTGCTGAAACTGCCTGAAGTTATCAGGCAAAGGAGCAAACTGCACTGACATGATTATACTCCCAAATGCTGATATGATCAAATCAACCTGGCTCTTTATCCTTAGGCTAAAGTTCCTGTTCTCTAAAATACTGCTGGATGATGCCTGGTTTACATGCAAAAAAATATTCCAGAGGAAAGCAACTGGATAGAAGATAAGGAGCATCCTTCCACTCTGCATACACCAGGTGCACTGGGGAATGATATTTACTGGATTACAGAGTCAGCAAAGTGTCCAGGACTTGATGCTGGAAGAGAGGAAAGAGTGAATATGTCAAAGGACTCTCAAGGTCCAGAGGGATGCTGCTTCTCCTTCAAAAGCCCTGCTGGCCTGCCGGATTAGCTGTGTACATAACAGAAGGCAAGAGCAGCTGCAAGAGGGTGGCCAAGTGAGCAGTGGAGATGGAAGTACCAGTGGGAAAGCAGAGGAAGGCAGAGTTAGTACCCAGACATTAATGAGTGTTCAGAAACCCTTCAAGGACCCTTGAAATAATAAACATATGGTTGGGTTAAAGACTTGGTGTTGTAATAACAGAAGGGATCTGATGTGGGAAGTTTAATCCTGAATAGATCTGCCTTTTCATGGAAAAAGGGTCGGTAGCTTGGTCCAAGCCAGGAATTTTGGAACTGACACTTGAGCTGAGGGCAAAGGGTGAGGCACTTGAAGTGTAACCACATCCTAGGGGAAGATGTTTCATTAAAGCAGGAACACAGGAAGAGAACCTCCTTCTCTAGACCAAGTGACAGATGCTTCCATGATGTAGCCTGAGAATCATGAGATGGTTTTGCTCTCCCTTCCTGTACTAAGGAAGCCAGAATAAAATAAATACTAAGCTGAAGCATATATAAATACTAATATAAATAAAATAAATACTAAGCTGACAACAGGGCTGGGGAAGCAGCAGTCAGAAGAGAGGCACTCAATCAAAATGCGATTTAACAACCCAGCACCAGGATGTGTCTCCAGGGATTCACAGCTTATTTTCAGTTCTGACATTCCCTACTGTAAATCCAGCAAGCCCATTCATCTCTCTGACAGGTCCCCCCTTGCTCTTTTCCTGACTCATTCTGTTAGATCACAAAGCTGCCTTTTCCCCACTCAGACACTAGCCCACAGAGTAAGCTTGTTTAAACAACAAGTCTCAATTCCACGTGAAGTCACTTATAAAGACTTATACGAGGAGTTCCCCTGTTGGAGGAGATACTACAGAGACACATTTGGGTCCTGCCAAACACCAAAATACTGAATCCTGTACTATTAGCTCAGAAATCCCCTAGTACTTTTGACTCACAGTGATATTCATCAGTGGACAACCAGGCTGGCCTGAGCCCAGGAGCCTCAGTGCAGTTAGCAGGGCCTGCTCATGCAAGCAGCCCAAGGCTCAGCCTGACAGACCTCAGGAACTGGAGCTCCACATCTGCTGCCCCCTCTGACCTGGGTGCCAGGGATGATGGCCACACTCCTGGAATAACAACCAGCATCTTGGAGCTCTAGGTACTGTCACTAAAGTACACCTGACCGAGCTAATGCCAGCCTTTGCTAGCAACATAGTAATACTTTAAAAATTAATTACTAATAACTGGGTGGCGAAAGCAGACTTGCTTTGTTTTAAAGTCCATTTACCCAAGAATTTGGAGAGAAATCCAAGAAAAGCAAGTGAAAACTCTTTTGCTAATTGTGACGCAGTTTCCAAGACTGCTTTTTCTAACCTTGTACAGTGGACATTTTGGGTATGCAAAACAGTAATGATACTGTTATGCCTCCATGAAAGCTGTCTGCTTCTTTTCAGCCACTTGTTTTCATCTTTTTTCACAAAAATATAGATGAGCTACAGATAAATTGCTCATTAAAGAAAGGGATTTTATTCCTACAGCACTGCTTCCTTGTGGCACTCCTATATTCAAGAAGAGGGAAGATCTGAGGAACTAAAGGCTAGTCAGCCTGACCTTGATCCCTGGGAAGATGATGGAATACATGATCATGTGAACCACTTCTAAATACACAAAGGACAAGACATGTTAATTTATGGAGGGGAAATCCCGCTGACCCTGCTTGACAGTCTTGTATGAGGGGGACTTGTTGGGTGACATTGTTTATGTTGACTTTGGCAAGGCTTCTGGCATTCTCTCAAACATCCTCGGAGACAAACAGAGGAAGAACAGCCTAGAAAAGTGGACAGTGGAATGGCCTGATAAGCAGCCAAAGCACTGTGCTCCAAGCCCAGCTGGGGGCCAGTCACTAGAGCCTTATCCCACGGGTCAGGACTGCTTAGTGTATTTTTTAATGAACTGGATGATGGGGAGAGAGCAGGCTCAGCAAGTTCACAGCCCATAGAAAACCAAAGAAGGTGGCTTATGCTCTGGAGGACTGTGCTGCCATACAGAGGGAGCTGGACAGGCTGTAAAAATGTGCAGGCAGCAAACTCATTAATATCCACAAAGGGAAATGAAAAATCCTCCACTTGGGAAGGAATAGCTCCACATATCAGCATGGGGCTGACCAGCTGGAAAGCAGCTTGGCCAAGAAAGACCTGTTGATCTTGGTGAACACCAAGCTGAAGTGAACAATGCACCCCTGTGCCATCAACAGCGTCCTGAGTGACGTCAGGAGAATTGTTACCAGTAAGGAAAGATGATCCTTCTCTGCTAACATCTGAAGTGTTTGGTCCAGTTCTGTGTTCCTCAATACAAGGAAGATATGCACTTCTTGGAGCAAGTCCAGTAAAGGACCACAAGGAAGATTTAAGGGATGGCAGCATCTGACATACAGAGAGGCTGAAAAAGCTGTGACTGTTCAGCCTAGAGAAGAGAAGATTCAGGGGGAATCTTAGCCATGTGCATAAATACCTGATGGGAGAACGCAGAGAAGGTGCAGCCAGACTCTTCTGAGTGATATCCATTGAAAGGACAAGAGGAACCACACAATTTTAAATACAGAAATCTCATTATAAGATAAGAATGCTTTTGAGTGTCAAGAGTGGTTAAAAAACAAAGCAGACTGCTGAGAGTGTCTGTGCAGACTCCATCCTTGGATGTACCCAAGACCCAACAGGACAAGGTCCTAAGCATTCTGCTCTAGCTGACCCAGCTTTGAGCAGAAGGCTGGGGACTAGACAATCTCCAGAGGAACTTGTCAAGCTCAGCAGTTCTGGCATTCTCCTGCCTTTTATCTTTGCATTCACTCAGTGACTGTAATCAACAGTCCTCTCTCTGCCCTACACTGCTGTCTGAGTGGTGTCCAGGTAACAACAATCACCACAGCAACTTCCCTCTAGAACTCTGTGGCATCTCCTGCTTTTACTTCTCAGAAAGAGCCTTGCAGCAACTCTGGGGCAGAGGTTGGCTCTTTTATCACTTGGGAAAGTAAAAGATAAGTTCATTGGTGTTTGGTAGTTTTGTCTTATACAGGAAAGCTCTGCAGAGTTTCGTGCTGATTGTCATGCTCTGAAACATCCAATTATTTAACAGTTTCCTTCACTTTGCAGTGTGTTAACCGTTTAGTAATGCCAGAATTTTTCTTAGCAAAAGCCCTACATATCTCATCTACATTTTATATTTCACTGGTGTGTTTATCCCCTCTGCCTTATTAAAGATAGGGTCATTCTTATTTTTAATATATTCAAGAGTATAAAAATCCAGTGCACTCTAGTAAGGTAGCTTACTTCAGCACAGACTTCTGTCTGCAAGGAAGAAATGGAAGTACTTGTCCTCAAAAGGATGGGAAATGTCCAGTGACAATTAATTTCTACTTCTCCCATAACCAGAACAGAGAAAATTACTTGTTTTTCAAAAAAAAAATCCATAGAATTTTGGGCTTTTTTTTTTTTCCCTATATAGAACTGGCTTATTAAAAATAAATTAATAACTAAATAAATAACTAGATAAATAAATAAATAAATAAATAAATAAATAAATAGTAACAATGATGTAAACAAATGTAGGACTTACGTATGATCCATAATTCACTGCTAGGTTCTGCAAAGCCCATGGAAGGCCTAGGCCAATTAAAATATCAAAAACATTGCTTCCGATGGAGTTGGACACGGCCATATCCCCCATACCTGCAGGAATGAAAACCACATACACTCAGACGTATCTCAGAAAAGTCCTGCAGTGTTAATCTGAGGTAATCCAGGCAATTTCCCCCGATTAAGGCCAAGATTTATGGAAGATGCCCCTCACTCCCTCTCTTCCCTTTGCCCCCCCATCATACAAGGACAGCAGGCTTAAAGGGGCTTAATCCACATTCCAGGATCATCTGAGAATTCTCCTCCACTAATCCTCTGCTGCTGAGGGAACTCGCTGTGCTGGCTATGACCTGCCAGTTCTCTGGTGCCATATTCAGGGGGACTTTTGACCTTTTACTGTGACCATGACACATGAGCTTCTGTACTGGATTGATTGCAAAAGGTCTTTGAGTTGTCTGTTCAGCAGCTGCTTATTTCAGTGATGAGCCATTGATTTTGCTCCCATAAAGCAGTACTGGCTACTTGTCTTTCCTCTTAACACATCTGTTGCTCAGGCCACAGATATGGGGGAGCTGTTTTCCTTAAAAACAGTAGCATCTTCCAGTCCTTACAACTGAGAAGAAAAGCTGGAAGTTGACCTGAAAGATTCTTATGCCATTAAATACTTCTATACCACTGATATTCAAATTAAGAAAATTACTGTGATTATTGAGGAAGGCTTGAAGTTGACAATACTGCCAGAATTTGTTTCACACTTCTGTTGAGAACTTGTTAACTGCTTTGCAATAGCAGCCCAATTTATTTCATTCTTTGTTCTTGTTTTAAATTCCAGGCTTGTGGAAAGAACTCTATATATTCTCATGTTGAGGAAACATCTGTGCTACCTGAAGAGAAGCAGAATGTCAGGACACACTTCCATAGCAGGATGCCATCCCTGCAATGACCCACCTTGCCTGGCCACAATAAGACTGGCCATGCAGTCTGGCACGCTGGTTCCTGCTGCCAAGAAAGTGATGCCCATGATTACGTCTGGAATTCCCAGAGTATACCCAATGATTGTCACCTAAGGAGAATATGAAATAAACTGTCAAGCTGTTTACAAGAATTAAGACCAAAGACCAACTTGGCTCAAATCTGCAAGATGCTGTGAGAGAGAGGGTATCTCTCAGTGCAAACTCACACTTCCTTTAAATAGAGGCAGTGACAGGCTTTTTTGGTATATTCCTCAGCTGGCAGGGGATAGCACTCACCTGCTGTGTACTCTCTCAGGTTAGTTGTTCCATACATTTCATCCACAGTTTTCCTGATACTAATCTGGGTAACTGTCTCCTGATTTTAGATTAAGTTTTTAAACATCATTATATACAAATACTAGCTAAGCAGACACAAAACCACCCTATGTTTCTAGTTCTGCAGGAATTTGAATGTCATGCTATTGTTCATGCTAAGTTTAAAGTGTTATCATTCACAACTCCATGTTTCTTGAGCTTGCTTGCTCCAAGAGAATGAAAAGTTGTTGTGGCCAGATTGTCACTCAGCACCCCTCACACTACCCTGCAGGACTAGGAGACGTTCCATTGCTGCAGCTGTAATTGTTGCCCAAGGTAAAGAATCTGGATGAAATGCCAGCCCTAAATCAAGCTCAATGGCCATGGCTACTGGCCCCTAATTTTCTTCTCTGAGTGTGAACAGATCCAAAAGAAATAGAAGCAAACCTAAGGTTTCTCACCTGAAAATTCAGGTGTGTAGAACTTCCTATGCATTTCTCTAGACTGCCAAACCCCCTTCTGCTGCTTCTCCCAGGCAGTGGTTTCTGGGTTACTTGGTACGTACCATCCACACCATCATGTAAGAAAAAGCTGCAATCCACAGGGTAGAAGAAGCAAAGGTGACCATGAACCATTTTTCCAAGTGGGGTTTGTTACAATTGGGCACTGTGAAGTACAGGACAAAACTCAAGGGCCATGTGAAGACCCACTTCAACATTTCTATCTTGCCAGCTGCCAAACAACAAAACAAAGGGAAACAATCACAAGACACGTCTGCTGTATTTCAGAATGCTATTAACATTAACATGCTAACATGTGCAAACAAGATGTCAGGGACATCTCAGCCTGTTATGCCAACATGCCATTCCTTGTTCAGAAGATAATGATGTAATGGCAGATAGGAGGTCAGAGACAGGCACAGGAGTATGAAGGCCCTTCCTGAGAGTTTAAGTAATGGGTCAGACCATATGTGCTCCCCGTCCTCTCTAGCCAAGTTCTTACAAAGCCACATAAAATGCAAGTCCAAGAAAGAGATCTGATTCACCTTAAATCACCTAATGAGAGGGTACAGAAAAGATGGAGGCAGGCCCTTCACAAGGGAATTACAAAATTCCTTGCACAAGGGAATTACAAGAGCAAATTGACTCAACTTCCAATAAGGGAAATTCAGAACAGACAGTACATTAAGTTGTGCATTTTCTCATTTTTCCTACTGGGGTGGTCAAACATTGGAACAGGTATTCAAAAATCTGTGGGATGTCCATCCTTACAGGTAATAAAACTTAACTGGATACAGGCTTGGAGGAGGACCTGCTCTGAGCAGGGTTTGGAACCAGAGATCTCGAGAGGTCTGTGCCAGCCTTTCACATACTATGGAAGTCCATAGGACATCTAAACTACTCTCTTTAAGGCTCAGGTCTTTTCCTCACTCAAACTACAGAAATGCTGTTTGAGTGAGACCTGAACAGGAGTTCCCAAAATTGTACCTTGCCTGCAAAGGGCAGGACCACTCCCTACAGTATTCCAGCTCATCTGCAACACAGCAAATCTTGCCAGCTATGGCAACTGTGACTCAAAGGCAGGATACGTTATGATCATCCCAGGACCACAGCCCTGATGTGGTAAGAAGCACTAGGCTAAAAGGAGATCTCCACCCTGCAGGTGCAGTGCTCAGCAGCCTGAGGCACACATAGGTCCTCACGAGTCATGCAGCTGCTCTGACTTTCTAAGCCCTCCATATAGAGTGAGAAGCACTGTAGCAGTGACTAGTGAACAGCAGCAAAGCAGAGGCACTCAGGACCACCCTGTGTCTCTGCCTCACATCAGTATCACTAGTGCCTTGCCCACATCAGTACTGCATTGTCCAAGTGAGGTAAGAGCACACCTAACCTCCCAGCAAAGGTATGTCTTAGCCATGGACATATCTGATCTTCACTCAGCTCCTTGCCAGCAGCCCAGCCACCCTCAACTTCCTCCACAGTGAGCAGAGATCCATCTCTCCAGGGGGTGAGCCATGTTTTGGGGGCAGAACCCACATTGTGGAGATTGCTGTGTCTCCCCTGTAACAACAGCACAGTGCCAACACAGGAGCTGCAGTAGCACTGTGCCCAACCTCAGGAATCTGCACCCTGAGAGGTTCCTGCTGCTTCCCAGTTCCCCATCTCTTTTACATGTGGCCAGGAGCCTCACTGCAAAGTGAAAGCTGATGGAAGCTCTGAGAGACACTTCTCCCCCTACATCAACCTGCAGTGCTTTCCAGCATATCCAAACAAACACCACACAAAAGCAGGAGCTTCTTACTGGGTAGGTCAAAAGGTGTGTATGGCCCTTCATAGTCATCGTCATCATCGTCATCATCTTCTTCTTCCTCGTCGTTTTCATTGTTCTCGTTATCCTCATTCTCATTCTCATTCCTAGCCTCAGCCACATCCTCATCCCGCCGTGTGCTGCTCACACCACACTCAGCAGAATTGCTGGGGCCTGTTCCATTCTCCACCACGTGCTTGATGGGTATTTTGATTGCTACTTCTGACTCACTGTTGGTGTAAGTCCTGCTGTTGATCAGCCTCTGTCTCTGTAAATAAAGGCAGTCTTGTTGAAAAGTAAGATTTTTTTAAATTTGAGGGGTTTTAAGCAAAAGGGAGGAACAGAGAAAGAGAGGTGTGTAGAATTCTTTAAAAAATTGTCTTTAAAAGGAAAAAGAATGATTTTCAACAGATACAACATGATGCTTGCTTGCAGACCACTAGAAAAATCTCACATCCACAACTTTTACAAGTGAAGGTCCAGTGGCTGTGGAATTGACTCCAGGAGTACTCCAAGACCAGTGACACACTAAGCACTGTCTCAGGGTAGTACCATATTATTAAAAAAATCTATGCAGAGGGCACCTCCTGTGAGCTACAGCTACATAGTTATCTCCAGCGGCACAGAGAGCAAGGCATGTTCAGTGAAGTCAGTGGCAGAAGGATAAAATTTGGGAGAGCGCTATCAGGGATCCAGAAGAAACACCAGTTGCATTTCAAGCTAAACACTGCTACAGGAAAATGCAAATTCAGAAGAAGTAAGACAGGTGGGGGAGATAAAAGACACACCTCATTGATTAACATGCGGCTGGCCATGGAGAGACGTGTTTTGGGAGGGAAATGGCTGGTTATCATGATCCGGAGCCCAGCCTCGGAAAATGAAAGCTGGTGTGGGTAGGCAGAAAGCAGCTCATCAACCATGATCACAGAGGCTTTACGGTGGAAATTTCCTGCAGCCAAGGAACAAAAACAAATTGAGGCCTTCTTCCAGCAGTCTCTCCCTCTGCTCTATGTGGCTCTAAGAGGAATGAACCTAAGTGTTCCAGAAGTTCTCTGTAAGAACCATTCCTTCAGCTACATAATTCAAAACAGGCCTCATCTGTCCTTAATTTCTGCCTTCTACACATCTTATGTTCCTGTTTTTAAGTAAATTGTCAACATAGTATGACCACTTATGCTCCTTACAGAGAATTAAATCTGCTCTGCACAGTTCATCACAGGCTTGTGTTCGACGCACCACTGCTTCAACAGCAGCTATCCCACCAAGACACTTACTTCCAGTTGCAACCTGCATTTCTGTGAGGGTATTGTCCTCATCCACCGCTAAATGTGCTCCTTCAAGGTACCAACACAAATGAAAAGAATGTTCCTGCACTCTGGGCTTGCAGCTCATAGCTGGGAACTGCCACAAAATCCAGCAGCAACTGCATGTGCCAGAGCAATCCACAGTGTGGGAGAAAGGGACAGAGAGACAGAGGCAGGTCCCTGATCATGCTCCACCTGGAGCACAGTGCCGATGCCCACTGCCTCTGAGGTTCATTCTTCCGTCACCCAGATGACACCTTGGGCTGTGAATTCTGTGCCAGGACTGGGACTTGGCAGCAGGGAAACCTGAGGCCTTATCCAACACACTTCTCCACATGTTTATTAAAACCAGTGTTAAACACTGGCAAATGCTTTGTGCCATTACCATTTTTAAATATCACTGTTAGTCTTACAGAAGACTATCTCCTCGGCCTTTATGTTAATTTTTTTTTCCTACTGAGGCTTCCATGGAATAGGGTAGATATGTGAGGTCCTCTGTATTAAAAAAATAAAAATGCAAACCAACAACAAAAGCCAACCACACAGCTTTTCCTTGTGAGTCTTTCCAACTGGCACTTGTTGAATGGCACCTGGAAAAACTGCCAAACACAGAAACCTTTCTGTTTCAGACTTTTTGGTCCTCTGTTCAGAAAAGGTTTCAGAAAAGGCCTCAGAAGACAAACAGTGCCTGAAACTCCCAGGCACCCAATTACAACAGGTGCTGTTGGTGGCCCTGTATCCCAGGCTGGGATGCAAAGGAGCACCACTTGGCTCTTCAGGTCTCCCATGGCCCAGTCCCAAGGAAATACAGGAACAATCTGCAAGAAGATGAAGCAATCCTTTTGTATTCCTTCCTTGTCCAGTGTGAGTAACCACAAATGTCCAAATCAAAAAGTAATCAGCAGAGTATGCAAAAAACCCATTGGGGGAACATTTAAACCAAATCCCACAAACAGAACTAACCTGAGGCCATTGGGTAAAGTTTGGATGTGCAAGGTCTGAGATTGTGCTCACTGAGTTTTCCCAGTCCAGCTTTCCTGGTACAGAAGTGCCAGCATAGTTCTGCTATGGAGAGCTCCAGGTGACAGAGAGCCATCCCCAAAAAAACAGCTTCCCCAAATCAGAGTGCACAGTACTGCTGACAACCTTCGTTCTGCAACAGGCCTGTAAACTGAGAGCTGGCAGACTCGTTTGCTAGTGCAAATAAACCCCACTACAATTCATGTTTAACTGCTTATTGTATACAAACTATGCCTCTCAAGCTCCATTTGCAGGAAAAGACACCTATTTTTGGTTGGTTTGTTGGTTGGTTGGTTGGGGATTTTGATAGACTAGCTAAACAAAAAAGGCAGCCCATCTGTGGTCAGAGACCAGGACTAATTTTGACAAGTTGGAGCTTCTTCTCAGCATAAGTCAGTGCCTCAGGAAAACAGGAGATATTATTCCTGAGAACAGATACATGTGCATCCCAAGCAGATACTGCACATGCTTGTTGACTGTTTTAAAGACAAAATAAATCCACTGTGAACACAGTTTAGGACTTCCTTGCAAATGCAGACATTGAACAGCTGTTGCTGAGCTATGGGATGGGGGAATTTTTTTTAAGCTGAAGAAATACAACCATTTTTATACATGATCATGACTAAAGTCAAACTGGAACAGATTTCAGCCAAAGTGAAATACCCCTAAAGATCACTTATATGGAAAAGCTGGGCATGGTAAAGCCAGCATGTGCAGTAAGAGCACAGTACCCAGACCCACACATAGTCCTCACCCTTCCTTCACTGGGGATAAGTGTTCACTGGTCTAAGTAGGGTCTTTTTTCTTGCTCAGTTAATGTCCCTTTGGAGTGGAGTTAATTTTAACTGGACATGCTGTAAATGGGCAACTTCGGTGCAAAGTAGCAGTACAGAAGGAATTAAAATGGCTGTAACAGGCTAGATAAGCAGCCCCTGGGCCTGAAGAAGTCCTGGCAGCCAAGCAACTTGTCCAGCAGCAAGAATTAGACACAAGAGGCCTCAGCCACCTTCAGTGGCATAGGTTGTGGTGGCTGGGATCACCACCCTGTGTCCCCCATCTGGGAGAGGGGTTCCAAAAGGACCACCCACCCCCTCCTATTTTACAAGCAAGGAGCGGCTCCCACCGTGTGAGCAGAAAGAGAACATCCATAATGATGCAAGTGACAGGATGATTTATTGGAACAGTTACCTTTCTTTAGTAACACCACTGTGGCATCACAGTTGCTGTTGTCATCCATTTCTGTGTTACTTGCTAAACCATTAACCATATTTGCAGGGCTTTTTGTCTTCTTCTCAAAGAAGTGATGTATGGTTGAGTTGTACCTGCACAAACAAAACAAACTCAGGATGTACCTTTAATTCTTGACAGTCTTCTTTTCCTAGACTTGTATCCTGTGCAGTACAGCTAAGGGTAGGAATAAAACTCCTCTGGTTTTGAGGATCCCAGAGCTCCAGCTAAATTGTACATCACACAATCTCTCTATACCCAGAAAGCTATGAAAGATAGAAGCCATGGATCTTGAATGACATGCATGCTTACGTGTTAGGTGTGATGAATATTCTACTCATGTATCATGAGTAATCTTAGCTTGTCATCATCCAAGTATATTTTTTTATCATACAATCACACCTGATGATCAGCATTATCTTACTGAGAGGACTCAACCCAGAAACACATCACCTTATGCTAAATTCATCTCAGCTTTGGCAGGGGTGGAGAATAATCCTTGCTTCTTGGAGCATCTGGGAGCTGACACAAATATGAGCCAAGGCTCTCCCCATGACACTCAGAGGCAAGGGTAGACCCCTATAAACACCTGGCAAAAGTCTCTAACTAGGCTGACAACCTTTCAAGCTATATCCAAACAGGTCCAAAAAGTCTGTTCACATTACAAGGTTGTTTAAAAAAAAAAAAAAAAAAAATTGCACACATTACAACTGTCTTGCTGGTCATTTAATTGTTCAAAGAGTAAAAAGCTACCCTCCATGTCAAAATTTCTAATTAATAGATGAATTCTGACTTGTGTTCCCTTCAGCCAGCCTGAGTGTTTTGCTATTCTAACTGAGAACCGCTCTCACAATATTACTCTATTCATCATTTCAAAACAAATCTCTAGTCTTACTTGTGGAGAAAAGACCACTGGTGTGTTTGGCAGCTGGAAGGTTTTGTTGAATGTTCCAGTTTGAATCTGGGTTTCCTTTCCACTGGCTTTTGAAAACAAGACAGGAGGAGGTGAACCAAACTGCAGAACAGACCAGTTTTACTAGCAAGAACTTGTGTGGAAGAAGTCAAACAGGTAGACTGTGCTGTGGTTTTATCACGATCTCCAGGCAAGCAAGAACTGCTGCAGAGCTTCGTGCCCATGAAAAGTACACTGGAATCTCACTCCTGCTCATTTCCGAGTAGGGATGCTACAGTGAAGCCAGAAGAGACGGTTTGGTGGGACCTGAGGACAGATCCAGGTTTCTGCCACAGGTTTGCTGCATTAGCCTTGGTCAGTTCACACAGGACAAGATCCGTAAAGCACAGATTCACAGGACAGTCTAAGTTGGAAAAAACCTCCACAATCATCAAGTCCAATGTTAATTCAGCACTGCCAAGCACACTTCTAAGCCATGTCCTTAAGCACCATTTTACACTCTTTTAAACCCCTTCAGGGATAGTGATTCCACCACTGGCCTGGACAGCCTGTTCCTGCACCTGACAAACCTTTTGGTGAAGAAATTTTCCCTAACAGCCAAGCTAAACCTCCTCTGGCAGGAGGAGGTTGTTTCTTCTTGTTATAAGGGCTAGGTGAGGCAAGGGGAGCAAGGAACCTTAGAATTTAGATAAGCTGAGGACAGATTTGACTTACTTCATTATAAAGATGTAGATGACATACATCAGCACTAAGACTAAGGACTCCCACCTGGAAACAAGAGCAACACAAACACATCAGAGCAGGGCATGGCATCAGCGGCCCCTGTTCAGCCACTCCCCCATATGACATGCCACAAGTGTGCAGAAAGGCTTGACCCTCCTATGCTGCCTTAACATTCCTCTATAAAAAAAAGATGCACAAAGAAATGGCTCACACATCCATGCATCCTTTGTTTTCTGTGATTTTACTCAGCCAAACTGACCTGTCAGCTAAGAAACAAGTGACAAAATCCAGGAGTTGAGTGAGCAAATCGTACACCCAAGGATCACCAACACTTCCATAAGGACAATAACCATGGGATGTGGCCAAAGGAGGGGAGCAGCCACTCGGCCTGCCTGCAGGAGTGTAGAGCAGGATGCTGGGCTTTGTAAAGCTAATTGTGCTGAGGCAACCTGAGCAAGGGGCAGCTGGTCTGCTGCTACTGCTGCTGCATGAGTGCTGGGAATGCAGCAGGCAGCAGTTCAAACTGCTGTTTAGATACTGGCAGGTTTTTTTCCCTCTGCTGTTTCTGTGTCAAACTAATGGAATAATGAAATTTGTATGAAAACAAATTACAATATGACTTTTAAAGCTTGTTTCTAGGTGATCTTTTTCACTGTCCAAAATGCTGTATTCTGCTTAGTTCCCCATGGCAAACTGCTAGTCCTTGTGGAAATCATCCATTATCAAACTACTGTATGCTAAACTCATGGAACATTTTCTCCACAAGGATCTTGAGATATTGCACTAATTATATCACTATCTCATTCTTTGTTTCTGAAGATTCAAAACTCAGCTTCTGTATGTGTTTGGTTTTTTGGTTTTTTTAATACCACAGCTAAATACAACTGGCCTTCAAGTGAATTTCAGTTAAAAAAAAAAAACACACACACACAAAAAAAGTCAAAGAAGAAAACCAGGCCATTGCCAAGAATGGATGTTTGAAACCCGCCTCTAAAATGGGCAAGAGGAAAACACCAGCCCAAGCAGCTTGTCGCTCCCTAGTGCTTGTAATCCAAATTACACCAGCTGGGAGTGACACCAAAGCCAACGCTGTCACCTCCACTGTCGCCTCCAGATGTCACCACATCACCTCTGGTATGTGCCAGAAACAAAACCATGAGACCAAAGCAACTGAAAAGTATCTGCAGCCCTCCTAGACTACCATACCTACTGCACTGCACTTTAACACATTAATAGGGATATTTTTTTAAATTATTTTAACTGGTCATTCACTAAATTATGAAAAATCCAACTAAACACTTATTTATGTCTGCTTGGGTGGCTCCTTCTTGCACATCCGCATCTGCTGGTCACACTGTCATCCCAAGACTGCATACAGAGGACACTGACTACTGTCACTGTACTAGGAACAGTCTGATTCTCCTGGGCTTTCTTCTCTAGCACAAAAAATTAGTTACTCTAGCCTGCCTTGTGCTGATGTTTCTCACACAGCAGAAAAAGCTGCCCTGCAGAGCTTTTTAGCTTTCTCCTTCACATAAACACTAATTATGGCAGCTTTTGTGGTATAACCAGAAAAAAATGAAAATAAAAGGGATTCACTTACCAGGAAACTCTTTCATCATAAATAAACTGTGGAGAAAAGATTTTAAAATAGCATGTTATACACAAAACCACAGTTGAAAACAGCACATCATCTGAGGCAGGGGACAGAGTAAAGCAAGCCAGGGGTCATGGCAATGGCATTAAGCTCAGGTGTATTTTGGCACTGTCCTCCTGCCCAGCCTTTGAACTTCGTAACCCTTAGTTTCTCTCACAAGTCAAAGCTAGCAGGTACTCCTTTCCCAAATGCCACTGGATCCTTGTGCAGCAGTTAAGAGGGAAAGCAGTGGTGAGCCAGAGACAGGTCTGCGCCACTCTGACCCACCTGGCTGTCTAACTAGACATGGCCTCCTCCTCGCCGGCTCCTGGCTGGACGCTGAGTGTCCCACCAGCAGATCCACAGCAAGCTCTGCAGCTGCTGCCACATCCTGCTGGGCCCAGGAAGCTGTTCCCATCAGCTGAGGTTGATCACCACCCCAGCTGACTGTAGCTACTGATAGACCCTTTGGCATACCCGCTGAGGCACAGGCACTGTGGTTTCCCCAACAGTGCTGCGCAGCCTCCTCAGGCAAGGAATGTGCCTCCCCACTGAGGGAAGGACCAGCGCCATGCTGAGGGGTGTGAGGGAAGGACCAGCGCCTAGGTGAGGGGTGTCAAAGGAGAATGGGCACCATGGTGAGAGTTGTGAAGGAAGCAGCAGCACCATGGCAAGGAGTGAGGGAAGGGTCTGCACTGGCAGTGGCTGAAGGGCTGCATTGGCAGTGGCTGAAGGCTCACACTGGCAATGTCTGAAGGCTCACAGGGGCAGTGGCTGCCATGCTCCATGACCAGGCCCTTCCCGTTGCTGTGCTCCACCAGCCCTGCTACTCCTGTGCCTCCAGTTCTCAACCCACCACAGCAGGATGGCTGCAGAGAGGCTGGAGCTGGAATCGCATGCAGCCCTCATGGCCTCAATGACAGGTTGTGGTCCATTCAGCCCTTCCAAAGCACCAGAAGGCAAATGCGTGCCTGCACCAGGGATTACAGATCCATGGCTGTGCCCCAGGAAAACAGGAGGGAAAAGGAACGAGGCCCTGAAAGCACAGTGAACACTTCCCCTTGGCCATACAGCTGTGAATAGCAACTCCTGTATGACAGCCACATGAGGCAAGAATTACACTGGTTACTGGAAGAAAAACTGACCACAAAACGTTGTAAATTACAGTTCCCAGTCTAATATGACAAGGCCTGTTTTAGGTTACAATGTTTTGGTGTGATGGCACGTGATAGCATGTGTATTGACTTCTGTGACTAAAAATAGCACCCATCTCAATTTTGCCTCTAATGACTCTGACCATGTCCCTTCATATTAAGATACACAGGCATCTTTTTCCTTTCAAGACAATAAGGAGTAAGTTTTGCCAAACTCCACTAGAAGACAAAGTAGCATTGTAATATTATTATAAAGTTAAAAAAATCACTGGGCTGAGTCAAGATGAATTAAGTGCGTCATGGTTTGACACTGGCACAATGCCAGTGCCCCCATGAAAATGAAATCTCTCAATTGAATGCTGTGAAATGCAATCGAGAACAGAGCAAAGCAGGTCCAAGCTTAATAACAGAAAAAAAAACTTTATTAAGCTACTACTATAAAAGGAAAAAAAAGAAAGGAAAAAAATCACACACACAAAGATCAAAATGAAAACCTTGCAAAGCATTCCTCCTCCCACCACCCAACTCCAACAAACCACAGTGAGACACAATCTGGACCCCAATCAGGTTTCCACTCTCCAGACAAACAATACTCAGTCCATCGAGGGAGAGAGGAGTCCCTCCCGTGCCACAGACCCCCAAGAAACACAGCTGCCACATCCTGTGTTTCCATGTCACACATGGCACCGCCCAGAGAAAAAGTTTGCCATGGTGACCCTTCACCTTTCCATGCACAGTGCTCTCACCACCAATGCATGGATGGACAGACTGCTTTTAGGATTTCCTTTCAAAGATGCCCTGCCAGGAGGGGGAAAAAGAAACAACAGTTCAATTTTTAATTTTTTGGGACTACAGTCCCCCCTCCATTACCCTCTGGGCCGAGGGTCCAAGAACAGAGATCTTCTTCTCTTCTCCTTCTTTGAGGACAGGGGGCACCACCACAAACCCCCTAACTTTTCTCTGTTCGCCCCACTTCTGTCTTTTCCCAGCTGAAGGAGGTCTCTTGGCTCACTGTCATCCTCCTAAAATACAGTCTCTCTTGGAGGAGAAAATTGGATTCAATCTATGGCTACCAAGGAAAAAGTCCAGCCAAAAGCCACTCCATCATCCCTTCCCATCTAGAATTCCTCCTTCTAACATCCCAGATTTCCTCCACCCTTCCATCTGCAGGGGCCGGCCCGGTTCCAGTCCCTCCACCCTTGGGCCCACCTCAGTCAGGCCATGGGCCTTCCCCTCCCCACCCAGCCACGGCCGGGCAGGGGAGAGGCTGCACTGCAGCTGACCGGAACCAAAGAGCGAGTTCCCCTGGGAATTCTGCTTTTAACCCCTCTGTGTTCTCAGAGGCGTGTCCACCTCGAATTGGTCAATATCCAAATTGACCTCTTCCTTACAGAAAAATTATTTTTCCATGTCAAACCACGACAGTATGGTAAATGTATTTTATATCCACTTCTAACCTCTGTTGTTTAGAGTTCACTCTCTCTCATCAAATGGCCTGGAACAGCAAACAGGTGAGTTTATACTGCTCTATTTCTTACAACAGCATTGTACTTCCTTTTCTAGTGCAAATGGAGACAAAGTCATATTGATTTACCCAGCAAAATATCAAGCTTTTTAAAGTTGCTATATCTCAGCCTTGGAAGGAATGTATTTATTTCCCCTCAGGTGTACTTAGGATTAGTAAAGATATCAGTGGAGTGCAATTTTTAACACAGCACCACAGGCTGTTGTTTAAGACACCATGAGAACAAACTTCTACACAAAATATAATTCTTCAAGATTAATGACACTATATCAGCTGCAGAGAAGTCTCAATGCCCTCTTATGGAAAAATTATCCTTGCATACAAAGAACTGAAGCATCTTCTAAAAGGAGCACACAAATCTGATGAAGGAGGAACCACAAGCAGGTTACACTATGCTCTGCACAGAGCCCATGGCTCATCTCCCACCTAAGCCATGGGAGACTAGAGAGTCAGAGTTTGAGGAACAATTGAGGTCCTGCCACCTCAATTTGATTCTATCTTAAAAGGAAAGGAAAAATTAGAGACACTGGGAAGGCAGAGGTTCCTAGGTAAGTGAAAGCAAGGAGAAACTTCTTAAACTGAAGCAGTGTTTGACTTTGAAAGGAGAAATTTTGTGTGCTAGCAACTGGGAAGCAATATTGCATACAAAAGGGTTGGTACATCAGCCAGCAGGAAGCTAAACACTTAAAATGTTTTCCCTGTCATCTTTCTCTGCTTTTCCCTAATAGGTGTCTAAATCATTTGCAATGATTGTTATGGAGTAATACTGAAAGACCTGGGATGTGCTCCACCTCTCCCAAGCCAAATTAGCAGATAGTGCTGTAACACAAGAATAAAAATTCTGGCAATGCCTTCAAACCTCCACTCTCACCATCCTGCTACCCTGGCTGCCTGGAGGGTCTTGAACTCCACCACTGATGAGTAGAAGAGTGGGCATACAGCTGGAGAGAAGCTAACTCATGGCTTAGGGAAAAAATAACCGTGTACTGGTATTATGGGGTACACTCCCAAAAGAAAAGGACTCTGGCAGTTCTGTAATTACAAAGAACAGCTTACACAGAAATAAAGTATAGGAGAGAAGTCTTAGGGGTAACAGAGATGTCTGTTCTGCAAGCCACACAACTTTCTCATGATACTGGAATAGTAGATAGAAATTTCAGGGGTGCACTGGACACAAAAGAGTAGAGAATTTTTCTCCACATCCTGATGCTGCTGACAACCACAGGAATGAACCAGCCATGAAAAAAACCCATCTTGCTTAAAGAATTTAAAACTGATGACAGAATCAACAGATTTTCAACTTGTCTGCCTCCATGCAATAAATGAAATGTGCAATACGAGCACCAGGAATGACAACCACAGGAATGAACCAGCCATTAAAAAAACCCATCTTGCTTAAAGAATTTAAAACCGATGACAGAATCAACAGATTTTCAACTTGCCTGCCTCAATGCAATAAATGAAATGTGCAATTCAATCACCAGGAAGCCAGATGCCAGGCAGATGCCCACATGTGTGCTTCCTGTGGAGTGAACTAAGACAATGCCTGCTGGATGCCTTTAAGCTTGGGCAGTGGAATTCACTACAATTAGTATGCGTGGCTCTGTTTGCTGTTTAGCAACTTTTTGGTATGAAGTTACTGTCAAGCTGTCAAAACAAAAAAAAACAAACAAAAAAAAGCTTTTTGTTTTGGAGCTCATTACTAGTAATTAGGTAGAAAAGTAATTTTTTACCAGGTACAAAATAGCTGGCCTTGCTGTACGGGCAATTAAAGTTCAAACAGGCTGAGAAAGATCCCCTGTTTGGGATAAGACAGATAGAGGGCCTTGCAGCTACAGAGTATGTCTGGAAACACAGGCTTGTGCAGCAGGAAACAAACCAAAACCCACTGTCGAAACACAGTAACCAAAGTAACCCAGACTGCAAGCAACCCTCTTCTAACTCTAAAGTCCCCTTCTTGCTGAGGTAGGGAAGTTAACCTAAATCACTCTTCCTGTCTTTGGGAATCTAGGGTACTAGGCAAGGGTGGGGGAAAAAAAGACATGCAATGGCTACCTGAAAACTCAATTTTTACATTTCCTGGCACTGTTTGGTATTGTTTGCAAAGGTACTACTAAAATGACAGCAGTGTCTTTATTTAACTCTTGTGCCAACCTTTTTTCACGGAATAGCCCAGTTCTGAGAGATTTGGAGCATTTACTGAGTTTGATGGAATTCAGGATAGGCACAGCACTAAGAACTGCTGAAACTGTAGTTTTTGTTTGAAGACTTGCTGTCAGTGTGCACTTAACCTGCCCCTATTATGTGTGGAAAAACTAACCTGCATGTTTTGTCGTAGCTGTTCAGGATCTCTCTCCTCTGGGCACAAGTGCTGCCTCCTTACAGGTTAGTGACCTGTATTTCAGGAAGTCATGAAGGTTACTGCCAGGAGAGCACTGACCCACCCGCTGCAGGGCTGCCCGGGGGTTCAGAACGTGGGTTTAGCTTGGCACCCCATGTCTGCACTGGGCCACCATGCCCTGCCCCAGCTATCCCTCTGGGGTCTCTAGACACTCCTCCATCTCCTGCCCTTGGACCAAGCTTTCCAGCAAAGCCAGGGAGATTACAAGCAGTTTTCCACAAGAAGAAATTCACGTGAGTGCTTGAGCTGAGATCTCAGCTACACGACTGTTATGCCATGGCATGTTCCCTTTAGAGGTGGCAGTAGACATGGGCTACAACAGATGAAAAACCTTCAGAAACTTACCACAATGAGTGCAACAACAGAGAGCGTGTAGTAGATTGAATCTCTCAAGAGACTCCATGACGACAGTGCAACAACCTGGGGAAAACAGGCAAAGAGAGGGTGTCAGCTAGGCTCTCGCCAGCACAGCTGCCACACCAGCAGTATGTGCCCTGGTTCTGCCTGTCACTCTGTGGGAGCTGTCCCCAGGCACGCTGGGAACTCGAGGAAGAAGCCTAAGACAGGAAACATTTTCTGTGACTGCTGGGGGAACAGCTGCAAGGGAGACAGGAACCATCACATAAAAGTGCCTGCAGACTCAGCTATCCCCCACATCGGGCTGCGTGTCCCCATGCAGTCTGTGAGGGCTGCTGCTTTACTGGAAGGGAGGGGCTCACGCTTTCGCTTTACCAGCAGGACCACACTGATGAGCATTACTACAGCTCTGTGTGCATCTACACAGGTTTTGGGACAAACACTCAAGTCAACACTCCAGCAAAGTGTTACAAAGAAAAACCAGGAATTTGTATGCAATGGAGAATAAAAAGGGATCACTGTGCAGTTCATGTCACTTGACACCTTCCAAAGCTACAGAAATGAGGAAGAATTCTCACTGAAGGCTGCACTCGCCTGCAACTCAGATTTCAGAAGAAAATACCAGTGAATGAGTTAATCTTTAATTTCATCAATAGTATTCAAAAGGACAGATTAAAAGCAGTCATGTGGAGGTAACATCTTCAATATGATTCTATTTTTTGCAGCTCTAGGAAGTCCCCTCAGTGGAAGCTTCTCCTCAGATCTGTATTTCCCAGTTCTGGAGAGCATTTCAAACACTCTGGATTACATCCTTCAAAGGTGTAAAGCTGAAGGAGGAAGATGGAAGATGGTTCATTTACACTGATTTGAATCGTAACATATACATTAATTTTCTGACTGTACCCTCCAGTCATGCTTGTGCATGAATTCAGTCACATGAACAGTAACACCATTTTCAGTTCTGTTTCAGTGTCAGCAAAAATAGTTTCCCAAATTTCTCTTCATAATAACTCTTAAAATATTGGAATTTTCCAAAACTGCAAATGAAACAAATGCTGTAAAAAGATACTGACCATTATCTCTACAGTCTCTTAGTAACATGGCTTTCTAAAAAATTGATATAATTTATGCCCAGTGTAAAGTCTCTTTATGCAACTATTTACAAGTTAGAAACTTCTACATGAAACAAAAAAGCAGGCTTTTAAAGCCCTTGGGTCAAACCAGATTTCTACCAGCTGACAGTACATTTCAAGGCTCACAGACATAGATGAATGGAGATGCTTTCTGATGGAAATTTCCAAATGTAGGAACATGGAGCTGGGTTCATAATTCTATTCAGAGATCCTCAGTTAAATCTCACATTTTACATCAGTGTGCCCCTTCATTCTGATTGAGCAAATTTTGCAAGAAAGTTTATAGAACAATTGGACATAATTTCACTCATCTTTCAGGATGCTGCTTAAGGTCCTCTGCACTTGCTTCAGCATGGATGCATGCTGGTGGGTATTTTACAGCTGCAAACTTCAGCTCTGCACACAGAAGTCACATTACTGAAGCAAAGGACAGCCCTCACAGGAAAAGGCTCTGTCTCATAACTCTGTCCCTGGCCTAAGGGATGTCACCACATCTGTGAAAGGAGCATGCCTGGCCACAAGGAGTCAAGGTAGTCTTTCTCCTGTTCTTTAATATTCTACAATATCAAAGGATTTTGAAGGTGCAGGATAATATTTTCCCAAGGAATTTTCTTCAGACACCTGAACGAGCACAGTAAGATCCAGATGCCTAAGTGCAGCTTTCTAGCAGGGACCCACTGCAAGGAACTGATAGACCAAGATCTTGTGGGAATCACGAGGACTCTTGTTCTGATTCTGGATCGGATTGTAGGGGAACGTGCTCAGGCCTGGCACCTGTACAGGCTGCTCACACTTCACAGACATCAGTGTGGGTCTCCCTGATGCAATAACTGTCAGGCAGTTAAATCTCAGATGTCTTTAGGGCCCAAGTCACCTAGCTGAAGTTTCTCAACCATTTGATCCATGCGATACAGGCAAGCCACGCACATAAGGCAACTGTGCATCAAGGGTGAAAGGAGCTCATGAGCACTGAGAGCAACGGCAGTGCTCAGCCTGCTGGTCAGAACCACGTCCTGAGGCAGAACTACCGAGCTCCTGAAGGTCTAAATTGTGCCTTGCAGCCACCAATGACTCCACATAAATCTTAACATGCTGGAAGACACTGAAACTACAGATCAGCAAGATAGAAAAGAAAACAGGGACGCAATCAGCTTGGGTTAAAACATTATCAAATTGGAGTTTTAAATCAGTAATACTGTCATATTTTAATCCAGCAGTCAGCTCGTTTTGTGGGAGTTGAGCATAAGGAGGCATCTGCAGAGCCACTGATTGTCAGTGTGATGACATTTCCTCCTTTTGAAGTGAGTACCCGAAATCCAAACACCGGACAAGTGCCTCTTAGCTGTCCGTTGACCACTTAGTGGTGACTGAACTCAGTTCACCTGAGTTGAAAAGAAAAGCTCTGAAGTCAAGGCTTGAATGAGAGCATCCCCTGATGGCTCCACACAAGACACACTGAGCCTGCTCCCCTGCATGCTGCAGCATCACTCCTAAGGGTAAACTTACCCATAATAGCTACCTGGTTTCTCACAGGTAAACTTTCACCCTGTAAAATCCTACATATAAAATTTACTACTCAGAATGCTTACTTCCCTTTTGATGGGCTGGAAAGCAGAAAAATCAAGATTTTCTCAGTTCTAGCTTGATTTCTGAGGCTTGTAACCACTAAAGCTGTGGCACTATGCAGCACACACCACCTCCTCCACTTAGCACACATGCGGAGATCAGCCACCAGAGGGAAAATCTCCCCTGAAATCAGACACTGGTGTCTGCTTCCTGTAGCACTGAAGCTGGCTCAGGGCAACCAGGACCTCAGTGTCAATATGCCCCATGCCTCAACCTAGGACTTCACTTTTTATCCTCTGTAAAACTGACCCTTCTCTCTGCTGCTCATCCAAATTGTTTTTCTGCTCTTAGGAGCATGGAAGAAGCTCTTCTCCCATCCAGGAGATATCCATAACCAGAGGCCACCCAGCTGACTGTTTTCCAGCCTGCTCTGCCCACAGCAGCAATGGGCCCAAGACAAAGCACATGTGGCAGAACAGGGCTGCTGCTCCCTCAGCAAGGATATCTGTGCTCCTGCTGCAGGAGTCCAGAGGCATGTGCACTCCTGAGTATTCTGGCTGCTAAACTTCCAGGGGAAGCATGTAATCACTTCAATGTTCTTCAGGGATCTTCTTCACTCTGAGTTGTTTTGAGGGTTTTCTTCATCTCATGGCGAGTTCTTTGCTTGACATTCTCAAGCGCTGATCAGCTACTAATACTGCTGGGAAATGCTAGGCTTTGGAAGCAGTCTCCCTAATCTTGTTTTTCTGTTACCCTCTGGCACAGAAGGTCTAGCTTTTGAGGTATTAAGAACTAATAACCTAATTGGCGATGTAGAGAGGCAAGAATGCTTGGATTACAGTGTCAAAAGATTAAAGACAATCCCTGCAAGCAATTAGCCTTAAGAGTCTATGGAGGTCAATAGAGATGGTCCAGCAGTGAATCCACCACCATCAAAAGGCATCCAGAAGCAGAGAATCTGAGTCAGTCCTCATGCTGAACCTCTTTGATGTGGATTGCACAGAAGTGATTAGGGAAGCTCTTACACCAGGGATCTGGCTTTTGAGCACTGGTCTGTGCTGCCTGAAAAGCTGCTGCTCGCAGTGATACCTTGCAAGCCCCTGGCCCACAACAGCTGGCCAGCAGCGCACTGTGTCAGCCCTCTGGGTGAGCTGCAGCCAGATGTGCGGTGGAACCTCCTCGCACGCTGCTCCTAGTTTGCAGGAGCTACCCTCAGAGCCCAGCAGGGGCCTTCTGAAGCCTGTTGGGGTCCCCTTGAAAAAGGGCTGTGCTCCTGACACTACTGTTCTGCAAACCCTCAATGCAATTTCAAATCAGTCCCATGGTAACATAGCAGGATCTCATGCCAAAGCAAGAGAAATGACCAACTGTCGGCCACTGTTACAGGAAGCAGTGAACTCAGGTGGAAGTCTGTGAGAGATTTTCAAGGAATCAGGCTGGCCATCGTTTGCAGTTAATCCATGTCTTATGCATTCAGAATTATACAAAATTAAAAAGGGCTCTACCTCAGGTATCAGGGCACAATCTCTGCCTTTAAACTTTGCAGCTGATTATTTTGCTCAGCTCAGGTAATTCCAAGGACTTGGCCACCTGCCTGCTCATTCTCACTGGTCAAGGTATCAGTGAAGCATCAGATTAATGGGAGAGTGTGACAGTGCCTTACTTGTACTCATCTTTACATTAAATTAGGCTGTAGATCCACCTGTGGCTGTCAGCAAGAAGCCATTGTGGAGCCTCTGCACCTTTCCTGGGAGAAACACGCAGGACACGGTATAGTTTGGAGAGAGGTGGATTCGTGGTGGCACTTTTGACATAATTCAGACAGACAACCAGACAAGCAGGTCCAACAGGATCCCAGAAGTGCCATCTCCCAGTACAGCAAGAGTCCTGATCCCACATCCCCTCCTGGCACACTGAACCACCCTGCCACACCAGACCTTTTAGACAGACTCCTGCATGGAAAACCATTGCTTTCCTGTGCAGAGCCCCAGGAAAGCCAGGCAGGCTCTCCAGCAGGCAGCCAGCATCAGACAGAGAGCCCTGTGCTGGGACTGACAGCACAGCAGGACATCCTGGACTAAGTGATACTCCCTCTATACCCCATGGTCATGCCCAAATATCCGAGGACACTACAAGTATCCAGCTCAGTCTCCAGACCATAATTTTGGCCAAAGACCCCAGGGTTTCATGATGCAGCATTCAGGCTTGCCTGAGGCTTTGACCAATACTAACCACAACTCCTAGCTTCAGCAAAGCACCAAATACAAGCACAGGTCAGGCCAAAGAAAAATCCAGGCCTAAACATATCCATCTCTCTCAGGCAGCTAAAGCAGCCATGATCTAAGGAACCTGCTGTGAGGAAAG